TTCCCTTCCTCCATAGTTCCCTCACCCATTGAGAAGGCAAGAAATAGAAAACTTTTTTTTTTTTAACGAATATTAAGTCGTGCAAAACAACTTTCCACAGAAGTCAGGTTCTGTGGGAGGGAGGTGTGGAAACAAGAAAAAGAAAGAAAGAAAGGACATCATGAGTCCTCTGGCATTGTGGTGGGGTCATTGCATTGATCAGAGTTATGGAGTCTTTCACAGTTGATTATCTTTATAATATTGATGTTACTGTGTAATGTTCTCCCAGTTCTGCTCACTTTACTCTGAGTCAGTTCATACAACTGTTACCAGGTTTTTCTGAAACCATCCTCATCATTTCTTGTAGTACAATAATATTTTATCACATTCATCTACCTTAAGTTGTTCAGTTGTTCAGTCATTTTTCAATTAAGTCTGACTCTTCATGACCCTATTTGGGGTTTTCTTGGAAAAGATACTGGAGTGGTTTGCCATTTCCTTCTGCAGCTCATTTGACAGATGAGGAAACTAAGGCAGACAGGGTTAAATGACTTGCCCAGGGTCACATAGCTAGTAAATGTCGGAGGCCAGATTTGAACCCAGGAAGATGAGTCTTTCTTACTCTAGCCCCAGTTCTCTAAACACTGTGCCACTTAGCTGCCCTAGCTTGTTCAGCCATTTCCCAATTGATGGGCATCCCTGCAATTTTCAATTCTTTGCTACAATAAAAAGAGCTGCTATAAATATTTTTGTGCATATGGGTCGTTTTCCTTTTTTTTATATATATATCTCTTTGGAGTATAGACCCAGTAGTGGTATTGCTGCATAATTTAATAGCTTTTGGGGCATAGTTCCAAATTCCTCTCCATAATGGTTGGACTAGTTCACAGCTGCACCAAAAATGCATTAGTGAGCCTATTTCCCACATCCCCTTCAGCATTTGTCATTTTCCTTTTCTGTATCTTAGCCAGTCTTCTGGGTTTAAAGTGGTACCTCAGAGTTGTTTTAATTTGCATTTCTTGGGAGATAATCATTGAACCAATGAGAGCTGATCAGATGATCAATGAGAGCGAGATAATATATATAGAGAAGAGAACCCAGAACAGAAATTTGTGTGATACCCAGGGTAGGTTGGTTATGATCTGGACAAAGATCCACCGAAAGAGACTGAGAAGCAGCAGTCAGGCAGGAAAACCAGTGGAGATCAGAGGCACAGAAACAGACAGACAGAGAGGATAGAGGCAGACAGAGGGGAGGGAGGGAGGGAAGAGGAAGAGAGAGAGAGAGAGAGAGAGAGAGAGAGAGAGAGAGAGAGAGAGAGGGAGAGAGAGGGAGGGAGGGAGAGAGAGAGAGAGAGAGAGAGAGAGAGAGAGAGAGAGAGAGAGAGAGCGAACAAAACCAAACCAAACCTAGAGGGGAGACTGTGGAGGAGAAGCAGCTGATCAATACTCCAAGGTCAAGAAGGATGAAAATTCAGAAAAGTCCATTAGATTTGGCAATTAAAAGATCATTTGGAAACTTTGGAGGGGGCAGAAGCTTATTTAACCAGTCTCCAATCAATGGGCATTTATTTTGTGTCCACTTCTCAGATTATAAAAAGTGCTACTGTAAATATTTTGATGTATGTGGGACCTTTCTTTTATCATTGACCACTCTGGGGCTATGTGCTTCTAGTGGGATCTCTGGGTCAAAGTTAGTTACTTGCTTATCATAATTAAATTGAAATTCATGATTTCAGTTCTGTAAAACACCTACTTCATGCAGGGCACTGTGAGACAGCCTAGAAATACAAAAATAGAAGTGAGCACTGGAAGGATATAACGTGTCCAACTGAAGAGGGAGTGTAAATTCTTGACCTGGCCAGTCATGTAATCTACCATTATGCTACAGGTATACCTGGTATTATTTCTGCTTTACGGAAGGAGGTTGTGACTTTCTTATGGCCACACAGCTAGAAAGTGTCAGAGGCAGAAATTTAACCCAGCTCTTTTTGACCCTGAGTTCTACATTGTATGCACGACACCATGCTCCTTCTAGTGTGTGAACAGGCTGCACATGACCTGAGAAGGGCCCTAAACAGTTGTGCTCTGCTTTCTCCTTAACCTTTTTATAGACATTTCTTGACTGGCTGGGAACCAGTTATAGCCAGAAACTCAGGTCACACTTTAAAGGGCAAGATGTAGTTAGATTGCAAAATTAGATATAAAGGAAGTGATTAAAAACCTCTCCTCTGGCATTTGTAACTGGATTCAAAACATTTAACCATGTTTAAAAAAAAAAAGTTAGGCCATATCTGGTATGGATTGTGTCCAGTTCTTAGTGCCACACTGTTTCAAAAAATATTGATAAAACTGGGAAATGTTTAGAGGAGGGCACTGAAGGAACTGGAGATGTTTAGTATAGATAAGAGAAGACTGAGGAGGTAATGACAGCTGGTTTCAAGCACTGAAGGACTGTCATGGAAGAGTAATCAGGTTTATTTTGATTGGTTGTAGTGGGCAGAACTGATAGCAATGAGTGGTGGATGGTGCACAGGCACATGTAGTCTTGGAGCGGGGAAGAGCTTCCTAACAACAGTTAGAATGATCTGAAAGTAGAATGGTTGGTTAGCTTTGGGCACTTGTGGGTTTTCCCTTCACTGCGGTTAGTCATGAAAAGCTGTTGGTCTGTGTGTTGAAGAGGGAATTCTCCATTGGGTTGGTGACTCTGTGGTGCCTTCCTACTCTGAAATTCTGTGATTCTATAAAGGAATGAATGTTTAAAAGAAACTTGAAGTAAAGCCATCTTTTTAAAACACCAGGGCCTTTTTAAGGTGAACCTTTTAAAGGCGTTACTTGTGTCACACCTAACCTCTGCACCTCAGTATCCTCATCTGTAAAATGATGGGGTTATACTATTGTACTAGAGGGTCCCAGCAGCATATCTGTGAGTCTATGCTACTAGAGAAATTAAGGTTCTTGTCTTGGGAATGAGTACTTTTTTTTTCTTTGTTAATTATTTCTCAGTCACTGTTAATTGGTCATCATTTAGTTGGTCATATGGGTACTGTAAGTGCATCACAAGATGCAAAGAACTGCTGATCTTACATGGTTAGCTCTTACATTTTAGTAACTTCCTTGTTAAGACTTTAATAAAGCTTTGGGGTTAGTTTGCTTTCTTACACAATAGGAGGATATGAGAAAGCATATTAGGCTTGAGTTTCTAATTTCACAATCACAAAGTACAAAATGTTAATATCTCATTTTCTCTAACAGCACTTATGAACTAAGGAAATGAAATTTTAAAATCTTTACTGTTTAAAAAAATAACATCCTTAATACATTTTACTTTATGGAAAATGTTCTTTTAACTAGGAGTTTATAACAAATTAGTCATGTGATGGAAAATGAATGTATGTAAAGAAAACACAACTCGGATACCTCCTTTGTGAAACCTTTTCCTGATCCCCACAATGGCTAGTTTCCTTCCCTAACCACTTAATATGTATTTCTATTTATTATCTATACATAATCTGTGTATGCATGTTGTATACATGTTGTATTCCCTGATAGGATATAAACTCCTTGAGAATAAAAATTGTTTCATTTTTTAGATTGATATCTACAGTTCATGGCATATAGCAGGGACTTAATTAAATACTTATTGATTGATATACATGTGTAGCTTCTGTTCTTGGTTTTCAATAGAATTTTAATAACTTAGCTTTTAAAAATTTTTTGACATTTTCTTTTGTATTTTAAAATAACAAATAAGGACTTGGAGAGTCCATCATTTTGGGACCATGGTTGTGCTCTTGGATTAGAGCACTATTTCTTATCAGAATTCAGAAAAGGGAGGGCCTGCTCTGGACTTCAGTCTTGAGAAAAACTCTGTGGTTGGGGGAGGGATTGAACATACTCATTCAACAGACTTTTATTTTGGTGCCCACTTTGCACAGATCCATGTGTCAGGGACATGAAGTTTACATAAGACAAGTCCCCGACCTCTTGAAGCTAGTAGATGTGTAGTATGTATACACACACACACACACACACACACACACACACACACACACACACACTCCAAACAAAACTAAGTTTTAGAACAAGTGCAGTAAGGAGTGAGGGAATGGTGTGCAGCAGTGAAGGTCCAGTTGAAATTTGTAGTGTGACTAAAATTATACAAGTTCATAAACTTTCAGCAGCATACAATGATGGAGGACTATGTAATTAGTCAGAATTGGAGTTTAGAAAGAGATAATTGACAGGTACTGGGGGTGAGGGATCAACAGGTAGGGGACAATGTAAAGTTGTACTGGGTTTGACTGTAGGGTCAAGATTTTGAGGAAAGTGACCCAGAGCAGGTATGATGGCCCAGGAAACCAGGGAGATACGGAGTAACTGGAGTTTTTGGAGAGGTTCCTGAAAATACATTTACAAGGGTTCAGGTTGAGGAAGACCTAGAAAGGTAATAGGAAACATAGCTAGCATTTACAGCATTTTACAATTATCTCATTTTATCCTTATAACCCTGTGAGGTAGATACTTATTTGCCTCATTTTACAGATGAGGAAAATAAGGAACAGTGTATTTGAGCAGCTTGGGCAGTGTCTGAGGCCAGATTTGATCTTGGGTCTTCTGATTCCAAGCTCAGCACTCTTATCAACTGTGAAGACTTCAGAGGTTTTGACTGTGGAGGTAGAAAGACTTGTGGGTGATGATGAAATCAAGAGTATAAGCACCCCCAAGCCACTGAGGCAGAGTGAAAGTGTAGATGAGTGAAGTTGAGTTAGTTGAAATAGGAATAGGAAGCAAGGGTTATAAATATATACTTTGAAGTTCCCAGTACAAGGGAAGGAGTTGGGGAATTAGAAGATTATGACCCCGGTACTGAACGCTTTGAAAAAGGAAGGAAAATGATTTGGGGGCTGGCAGATAACTGCTGCCAAGATCTAGATTGGGCGATATTTTTAGATAGAGATAAATGTTAAAGGAAGTGAGGTTGCTGAGTGATTGACCCAAGCAAAGGGGGGAAGGTGTGAAAGCGGCAGTAAGGGGACAATAAGCATGATGATTTCTTCTGACCCAGTGTGTGCTGGAGAAGATTGCCAGGGAAGCAGTATCTTCTGGGAGAGATCCAAGTGTCTGTGTAAAGAAGATGGCAAGATGGCAAGAGGAAAAAGTCAAAGATGAAGGGCAGTTTGTTAAAACTTGTCTAGTTGGAGTAAGTCCGAGTGTGTTTGTCTGTGGCAAATGAGTTCATTTATGATATTTAGAAATATCCAAGGCTTTAAAATGAGAATTGCTTTCAGAAATGAGTCAGGTGATTTGTAATCAGGTTAAGCAGATATTTACTTCCTTTTATTTTATTTGTTTAAATGCTTTTTTTATTCCAAATACTAAATAACATGAACATTTTCATATACAAAATAGAATAGAAAAAATATGAGACTCTGAATCTTTGTACAGCTTGTTTCTTTGATCCTGGCCTTGTTTTGTTTTTTTAAGGTATATAATAAATTGAACATGTAACTTTCAAAGCCGTCCTGCTGGTATTTCCTTCTGTACTTTCTTCTATTTCCTTCTTTGAATTAAAAAAAAATGCTCCAATGATCTTTGCTTTCTTCTCTCCCCTATGTTTTTTTGGGGGGGGGTGGGGTTGGGGGGGCAGGAGAGGTGCAATTGATATCTTCCTTCTCTCCCTGCTCCCTTAACTTCACAAACTCTCTCTCAAACTCTCTCTCTCTCCGGAGATGTACTAGCATGTTTCATCATTCGTTGTCTAGTCATGGCTCATCATTGAATTGATCAGAGTTCTTAAGTCTTTCAGAGTTATTTTTCTCTACAGTGTTAAAGGTTAGTCCGTAAATTGTTATCTCATGCTGCTCACTTCTTTCTATGGTAATTCATACAAGGCTTCTCACATTTTTCTGAAATTGTCCATTTTTTCAGTAATATTTCGTTATATGCATATACCATAATTTGTTCAGATATTACACAATTGACGGGCACACCTTAACTTCCCATTCTTTCTTACAAAAAAAATGCTGTAAATATTTTTGTTCATATAGATCCTTTCACTCTAATCTTTTGGGGCTGTAAGCCATTGGGCATAGTTCTTGAATAGCTGAACCAATTCATAGCTCCGCCAACAGTGCATCAGTGTGCCTTTCCTCTTGTTTGTCTTCCCATAATTACTGTTTTCTTTTTTTGTCATCTTGGCCAACCTAATGGGCAGAAGGTGGAATTTAGAGTTGTTTTAATTCGTATTTCCCTTATTAGAGATTTTCCTATGACTGTTGATTGCTTGAATTTCTTCCTTTAAGAACTGCTTCCGATCTGTTTTTCTGTTGGTGAATGGCTCTTGTTCTTATGTTTGAATCAGTTCCTTATATATCTTGGAAATCAGATCTCTATCAGAAAAAATTGTTGGAAAGATTTTTCTTCCAGTTGTTTGCCTTTTAATCTTAGCTATATTAGATTTGTTTATGTAAATACTTTTAAATTTTATGTTTTATGTGGTCAAAATTATCCATTTTATCTTCCGTGATCCTCTTTATTCTTTATTTGGTCATGAACTTTTATCTGTAAATCTGATGGGTAATTTTTCCCTATGTTTCTCTAATTTGCTTATGTGACCTTTTATATGTATGGTCATACACTCATTTGTAGCTTATCTTTGTATAAAGTGTGAGGTGTTGTTCTAAATCTAATTTCTTCCACAAACTGATTTCTGATTTTCCCAAAGATTGTACAATATGACCAGATTGGATTTATACCGGGAAGGCAGGGTTGGTTTAATTTTAGGAAAACTATAAACTTACCAAAATCAGTAAATATTAACAGATACAGAAAAAGCTTTTGATAAAATCCAACACCAATATCTGTTGAAAAAAAAAACACCACTAGAAAAATTAGGAATAAATGTATCTTTCTTTAAATTACAAATAGTATATGTCTAAACCAAGCGTTACTCTTGTAATGGAGATAAATCTGAATCCTTTCCAATAAATTTAATGGTGAAACAAGAATGCCCCTTGTTACCACTTCAATTTGATATAGCACTACAAACGTTAGCTACAGCACTAAGACAAGAAAAATAAAATTGTAAAAAATAAAAATAGGTGTAAAAGAACAAAATGAGTGCTTTTTGCAGATGATATGATGGTGTACTTAAAGAACTCTAAAGACAGCTAAAAATTAATGGACTCAATAAATTCAGCAAGTTTGCACGATATAAAATAAATCCACACAGATCATTAGCATTTCTATATAATACCAATAAAACCCAGCAGGAAGAGATAGGAGGAGAAATTCTATTTTAGATTACTAAATAGACACAAGAACTCTAAAAATGCAATTACAAACAACTGTTTACAGAAATAAGATAGACCTAAATGTTTGGGAAAATATTAATTATTCACAGGAAGGACAAACCAACATAATAAAAATGACAGTAATACCTGGATTAATTGACATACTCAGTACCATACCAATCAAACTACCAAAGAATTACTTTAGATAACTAGAAAAAATACTAATGAATTTCATATGGAGGAAAATAATGACAAGACCCTTGAGAAATAATGCAAAGAAATGGGAACCAAAGGAGCCCAGCAGTGCCAGATTTCAAACCATGTACTACAAAGCAGCAATTATTAAACCAATTTTGTACTAGTTCAGAAATAGATTGATCAGTGGAACAGATTTGGTACACAACATATGGAAGTAAATCTTTCTAATATTCTAATATTTTATAAGCACGAAGACCCTAGCTATAGCAATAAAGACTTACTATTTAAATTAATCACCAATTAAGTTTGAATCCTTTCTTTAATGGCTTCCTACTGAATATAATTTTTATTGTGTTGTGGTCAGTAAAAGATGTGTTTAATATTTTTATTTTCTCATCAGTTTGTGTAAAGGGGCTATACAAAGCAGAAATCCATTGTAGTCATTTTAATTCCCACTTGGTCATTACTGAGTATCCTAACTTTTCTAAAATTCTATCAGACTTTTTTTTTTGCTTATCTTTTTGTTAGATTTGTCTAGTTTTCAAAAGGGTACATTGATGTTCCCACCTATTGTAGTTGTACTGTCTATATAATTCTACAGAGTTTTCTTTTAAATATTTAGGTTTTGTGCCATTTGGTGCCTGTATATTAAATATTGATATTATTTAATATTCTAGGGTATCTTTCAGCTTGGTATAATTGACCTGTTTTAACCATGTCTGTTTTACTGTTACTTTGTTTGAGACTGTGATTGCTACCTCTGCTTTTTTGAGCCCCTTGAGTTCATGTGAATTTTTATGCTTCAGGTATGTTTCTTGTGCAGAATAAATTGTAAGATTTTATTCCTTTTTATTGGGTTTTATTTTATGGATGGATTCATCCCTTTCAAGTTTACTATGATTGTTAATTTTTCCCTTCATCATATTGTTTTAAACTTTTTCCTCACTTTACCCCTCATTTTACAAAGAAGAAGGGGATGAAAGACAAGGAATGTAATCACCGTTTTCTGTAATGGAGAAGTTCTGCTTCTGGTGCCCTGCCTCTCGTGTTCCCCTCACCTTGACCTTGATCAGTGCTTTTTGCCATTTCTTTTAAACCATCTTTTCAGGATCTAAAGTTGAAAAGTTGAAGCTTCTCTTGAAAATTGAAGTTTTTTTTATTTGTGAAAATGCCTTTTTTATTATCTTCCCTCTTAATCTCACCTGCTCAGTCCCTTCCTATTTCCCTTTTGAGTTTGATGATTTTCTATACCCAGTTCTTCTTTTCTATACAACAGTTTATGTGTGTGTTTGTGTGTGATGTGCACAAGGGAGAGTGTGCACATTCAACCTTTCTTTATCCAGGTGTGATAAGAGCGAGGTTCAGGTGATGCCCCCTCCTCTTACCCCTTCTGCTGTGTTTGTTTGCTCGTTTTGCACACCTCAGTTATGAAAAATAGCATTTTCTATCCTCCTTTTCCTCCTGTCCTCCCCAACGTAGTCCCTTTTTCTCTTTCCTCTCTTAAATTCATCAAAATGGAGAAAATTCACCCAAAATGCTGTTTAACTTTGCCTTTGACCTTTGTAGACATTGAGTTTTTGAAGAGATAACTTGTTTCTTCACCCCCTATTAGAATTAGTACTTTATCTTTGTATAGCCACTTCCACTAGAGTTGTTTTGTTTTGTTTTGTTTTTTGTTGTTTGTTTTGTGGTGTGGTTTTTTTTTTTGACACTTAATGGTAACATACTAACATCCTAATATAGTGCTAGTCTTTTTTTCGGGAATGCTTTAAGGCCTTTTATTTCACTAAAGGGCTCTATAACATTATACTTAGTTTTGCTGAGTAAGGTAGTCTTGGTTTAAGCCTTTATCTTTTTGCCTTTTGGAATGTTTTATTTTTAAGATCTTTAATTGTTTCCAGTCAAAACTTCCAAAGTCATATGTGATCCTGACTGTAGTTCCTTGGTACTTGAACTCTCTTTCTTTCTTTTTTTCCCCTCCTTTTATACCCTATTTTTTCTTTGACCTGGAAGTTCTGAGTTTGGTTATAATGTAGCTGGTAGTTTTCCTTTTAGAGGTGATCAGTGGGCTCTTTATATTTTTACTTTGTCCTCTGTTCTAATAGATCTGGGAAGTTTTCATTTATAATGTCTTGAAATAGAGTATTCATGCTTTTTTTTTGGTCATGGTTTTCAGGACGTTTGATGATGCTTAGACTCTTTTCCCTGTTTTCTAGGTCATTTGTTTTTGATAGGAGATACTTGATATTCTTCTTTCAGTCTTTAAACTCTGTGTGTATATGTTTTTCATTTCTTGGAGTTGTCTATTTCTTTTTGTTTTATTCCAGTTTTCAAAGAGTCTGTTACTTGGGTAAGATTTACCATAGCTTTAAATCCATTTTTTATCTCTAGATTAATTTTTTTCCCTTGGGTATTCTTGGAGTACTTGTGGCCAACCCTTCTTTTCCTCTGAGTTTCCACTTGTGGTGATTGTGGAATTTCTTCTTCTGGGTTAGATTTTTGGGTGTCTCTGAATCTAAAAAATTCTTTATCCTATCTGATGATTTGTTCTGTTTATTCATATTTCCAGCCTTTGATTTTGAATTGGAGCCAAACCAATTTTGAATTTTGGATTTTGAATTTGTGCCAAACCTAAGCTTTCCCCTTCTTTCACTTTTGAGTGGATGGTTGGCCCTGCTTAGTCTTGACTTGAGTTTTGCACTGACATACA